ATACGAACCAAGAGACTCATGTAATGGTACAAGATCCCAATGATGAATGTAACTGTATTTTATACCTAAAATGTACCAATAAAGTTAATGGGAAAAAAAAAGAAATTTTCATGTACTTCCTAATTCCTCTTTTCCAAAGTTAGCACAACCTGAATATTGAACACTCTGTAAAAAAACGTCTTTGTCAAGGTTCTCCTGTGTATACCTAAAATTGGCTTAATCAAAACAAGAAATTATTGAAAAGACATAGCATTTTGTGGAACACAAAACAGCCTCACTTTACTAGAAACTGAGATTACTCCCTTTCTTTCTTTTTGAGTCCCACATGTTCCACTTGACTACTTCTCCCCATGTATTTATTTCACTCCTTTATTCTCTGCAATTTGTCTTCCTTGCATCTTTACACATACCCTAAACCTCCACAGTTTATGCATTTTATTACTAGCTACACGCAGAGACCAATTCCAGATTAATGGGCAGAGGAAACAGATGAAGTTAGCTTAAGGCAAGAGTCATCTCTGCTCTAATCATCTCTGACCAGGGGTGCAGGGTCATATGATATAAGTATGGCTGCCTGCCAAGTCCTCTATTGTTCTCAGAGAAATCATTATGGCAGAGTATAAATTCCAAAACTAATCAATTACTTCAACCGATTAGTTTACTATATTCTCTCATACCTGTACGTCTTAAAGCATGCAGTTATAAGTAAATGGAACACTTGGATGACCCAATTGTTGGATTTCCTTTTCTCTAGATAATTTTTTCTCAGTCTTTACCCTGATTTCAACTTCATATTCTATAAATTGCAAACAATTCTAAAAATGTTTCAGTTCCAAGAGAAATACTATAGAAACCATTCTAAGTATATAAGCAGCTGGAATTTATACATATGTATACTTATGAATCAAAACCAGGCCAACTTTAGGAAAACAGAATATTATGTGTGTTTCTCATCCAAACAGTACAAACAGGCCTCACTGAAATCAACAGTGCTCTTGGCTTGAATGAGTAAACAAGTTTTAATTGTTCCTTCATCTATTAAGAGCATTTCTGATTTGAAGATGCCATGCAATCACTAGGAGTAGTAGTTTACAAAATTTTGAATCATTCTTAAATGTCTTAAAGTTCTTATGCCTGGATAAATATGTATTAATATTTATTGACTTTCTGAGACATTTAGGAAAATTATTTTTTCCAAGCTTGAAAAATGGGGGAAGTTACTCAAAGTATCTCATGTTTTTAAAATTGGCTGTAAAGATAAGTGGTATTGAGATATGAACAAAGAAGATTCTGAGAATTGGATTTTCCAAAATTCTTCCCCATTATAACATATTATGTCAAATGTTTATTACAATTTCATGTTTTGCTTCTTTCACATGTCTCAAATAATTAACACAACCATAGATATAGCTCAAATAGTAGCTAGAAAATGTTTAAGAGGAAGTATCACCTAACAGCAATTGGAAAAATTGTGTTTGATGTTAGACATGCTCCATTACCCTGAGCACTGATATAGACAAAGGTGGAGTTACTCTCCCAAAATGCTATGATAGAGCAGAAGTTTGACAAGGACAGGTTGCCAAGCATGACAGCAGTATCTACCATTGATTGTGGTTAATACACAAAGTCAAAGAATGACTAAGTAGTGTTTCTTTCTTCATTTAACCCTTAACAGTTTAACTTCCCACTCATAACAATCTTAAGAAAATCATTTCCTGCTCAGGTTTAAAATAATGTAAGTCTTCCTTGTGAGCTATATTTTCATGTATTTATTTTGGTGACACTGGGGATTGGACATAGGGCCTTTGCACTATGCTACATTCCCCAGTTCCTTTATTTCTGACACTGGTTCTGACTAAGTCTGTAAGTTGCCCAGGCTGGGTTCAAACTTGTGATCTTGCCTCAGTCTCAGAGTGCTGGGATTACAAACATGTGCCACTATGCCTAGCTGATATTCGTTTCTTATTCTAACTTTATGATAACTTCAAAGAAAATTAAGGGGAAGTCTTCGGTACTGTCATCTCACACTTGAAATGTTTTACGTTGAATTTCATGCCTGCCTGCATCTAATGTGTAGTATAAGAAATGCCTTCAGGTCACCTACAGGTACATGCTCATCCATGCAAAACTTAGTGCACGCGTGTGTGTGCACAAATATTTTTGATAGGATTTTGTTGATTATTCCTTCTCACGTGCAAAGACAGAAGCATTCCAGTATTCCAGTAGCTTGATGACATGATTTTCCAGTACTGGTTCCAAGCTTCTTTTATAATCATTATTTCTATGAAGTCATTCAACTTGGAAATAATTGCTTGCCAAAACGGAGTTTCTCTGGTGAACCACTCGACACAGCTTTAGTTTTACAAAGAACACCATTCTTTGTGTGCTGTTAATCTTGGCTTGGAAACATCACAAATTGTCCTTTCCACTTGAACAGTTCAGCTCCTGTTCTCCTAGTTATACTTTGGAACCATTAGACTCACTTCTGGAATTTAAATGCATCAGTCACCTAGTCGGTGACTCTTTGAAAAATGGATTTTCCAAGTATAGATATGTGAAACCTCTGTCCAGGACAACATTTAATAGTTGTTACAAATGTGAGGACTTCCAAGTTGGTTTATAAAGAAAACTGTTAGCATTTTTTTACATGGAGTTGTGTTAACTTTTGAGATTAATTTGCTATAATGAAAAAATTTGACATAGAATTTATTCAAATAAATTAGTGTTTCCTGTGAAAATATTCTAAGCGCTTAATTCTAATTTTTATTTGCCCCTTTAATCTTATTTCATTTAATCTTGAACTTCTGAAAAGCTACTGGCAGAAAGTCCCTAACATGAAAATGTGATAAATTAATAATGTGAGTGTTGAATTCACAATAATTTGTTTTCTAACCAAAATGATTTAAAAATAATTGAAATGGAGTATTATTGAAATAGTATGGGCTTGACTTAATACAACAGGCTGTTCACAGGCTATGTAGCCATTATGGAAAAGTAAACTGAAATTGCTTTCCTGTTTTACGTTCCCAATGAAATTTCTGAACATAAAGTTTTCCATTGTTAAATCCTAGAGAAACTATGTCTCCTTGTCTTCCAAATTCAGAAAATCTGGGTCATAATTACCAGGAGAGACATGTTTATAAAGGTGATTTGCTCATGAGAAATCTCTACAAAAATGAGAGCACTTATACTGAAAATATCATACATCAAATGAATGATACTACTTCAAATTACAATATAAGGCCATTGAAAAGAAAAACTCTTAAGTAGAAAAATTGAGAACATGTTGGAGTCCTTAACAAATATGCATACTTTTAAGTTTGATATTAAATGCACCAAGGGCTTATAGGTGACTTACAATATTTTCTTCTTAGAAAAAGTATCATGTATCCCTCAAAATTTGAAGGTACACGAGACATGAATAATGTTTTTACATTTTATATTCAAACTGATTTTGTCAACACAAGAAAGTTTGTGCAATTACATATGGCTCTATTTATATTTTCAGGAAGATTCTGGTGTACATACAAATGAATTCTATAGCATGTCTAATTTCAATTGCTTTCTGAGCATTTTATACACATCTAAGGGTGATGACGAATTTTGACTCAATTTTATGAATTTTCACACATGAATGCACACATACACACGAGCACAAGAACATGCATTGAATATTTAGTGTCTCTTTAAGAAAAGAGAATGTAAGCAAGCATATCTTAACATACTCGGTAAAAATTGGAAACTACCCAAAAACCAACTTAGTATTGCATATCACACAATTTCTAATTATGCGATACAAAGTAAGAAAATGATAGCCTACACTGCATGTCCTTTCTGTGCACTTTAAAACAGAAAGTTAAAAGATATTTAATGATATTCCTGTTATCACTGATTGCTCATATAGCTCAACAGAAAGGATCTGGGTGAATTTGAAATAAAAACTATATTTTTGGGGAACCTGGGATGTAACACAGTGGTAGATTGCTTACCTAGCATGGACAAGGCCTTGGGTTCAATCACCAGCAGGGCAAGAAAAAACACTTATGAAAAACATCTAATATTAAGGTGTGTTTTCTAAATCATTTCTATTTTAAAGAAGAAAATCAATTGAAGACATGTAATTTAGAAGTCTTGGCTGAGAAGACTTACACAGTAGAGAAGACACAAAGTCAAATCACATCAGTGAAACCACTTTTATTTTTATTTTTTTCCACACAGATAACTTCATGTCAACTACAAAAATCATGAAATGAAGAACTGATCATGAAACTGCAAACTGAGTCACTGGAGTGATAAATAGCTTTCCCCCAGATGATTGTTAAAAAAAGTAACCAGGATACCATAAATTCATATTTAAGTACTAAACATGTCATATATTCAAAAGTAATAAATATAGAATAGCAATAAAGAAATTATTAGCATAAACAGCATGAATTATATTTTATTTTTAAGACAGATGAAATTTCTAGGCACAGTTTTAGGCATTAAAGAGGACACAGAGGCATAGGTTAGTGTGTGCTGCTCTGTACAAAAATACAGTCTGAATAAATTACACTGCTAGCCATACAATTAAACGTCACTTACCAATCAGTTCATTACAATTTAATAATATACAGGTACATGCTAATCCACATATATCATTTATATTTCAAACACATAGGTCTCTCTATATTTATGTTTTTAAAATTTACATGTTGAACTTACAAAAAGCTAAATACTTGTGCAAGAAATCCAAATAACTAGCCCTGCTGAGTACTTTTATGCTATGCCATATATATATATATATATATATATATATATATATATATTCATACTCTCTAAAATAAACAATGAGTTGTGGTTAACAATTTTGCTTAAGAAAACATGAAACAAACCTAAAGCTGCAAAAACATATTAATGTAGGTCAAACTTCACTTGTGTTTATTCTGATAGACAAAAATAATATTTTGGATGTACAACAAGTTTCCTGTTGTACTGAGCTTTGTTAGTAATGAAACATTTCCAAATATTAGTGATGCTGGAAATGTAGCATAAGGCTGGCTCTTCACTGGGAAGGGAAAAGTTATAGAAGAAATCTTTTCAATAAACTACAGATATGTGTGCCTCGACATCTCGATACTTTCGTACTGACAGAGAATGAAAACTTGATAAGATCATGATGTTGGTCTAACAGCACATTGCATCCTCCACTAGGTCCAAGAAAGGTGTCTCACTGATGTCAGCAACAATGTACTGTTCTTCCACTATTAGGAATAAAGAGATGTTCTCACAACAGTGTGTTTAGTAACCAAAATCCAAATATTTTATTTCTTATGCTGTTCTGAAAATATGCAATTAACTTCAAGTGAGTTTGCCCCAGATTTTACTATTCCTCAGGAAGATTGCTTCCAAATATTCTACAATAATAGTATCTTTCTGGAACACTTCCATTCATAGCTTCTTATGATTCTTTATAGAATCATAGAGTTTTATAAAGGTTTCTCTCTAGGATACACGTTTGTCTATCGTTACTAAAATAAGAATAAGCCTGGTATTTCATATTTATTTTTTTGATTCTGTAGAAAATTCACCATGTAAGTGGCTTTTTTTGGCATCTGAATAATAAAATAGTTTCCTTGGGTGGGGGTTGTTGTTTTTGGCAACCATTTTTAAGACAAGTTAAAAGCATAACTCTGCTCTTGGAGGTAAAGCAAATTACTAAATATTCTTGATGTTGTCCTGCTTGCAATGGTTTGTATAATATAATAATAAATGGATATGTTTTAAGTTATTTTTCCAATGCTTCTTTCTGCAAGAGGGTCAAACCAGAACATACTGTTTTAGTGTCTTTCCTAACAAAAATAATTATTTATAACTTTTATATTAGAATTGTATATTTTATATAAAAATAGGTTTATAATTAAACTATCCAAATTTGTATATTAAACAGGATTAATACAAGTTTGCAGTGTGAGATTAGCTTCAAACTTATTGATATTTTCTTCCCTTGGAACAGTGAGTAAATGATTCCCTTAACAAAAATCCATCATAATTGTGTGCACAAATCAGCCCATCAGTTAACTCCAGAGGACCAGGTGATAACCAAATGAATTCTATTCCTCTACCAAGATGTTTAGACATTTATGTAAATCTAACGCTATTTTTTAAAATGAAGACATTTAAAATACTTGCAAAAAATAGCAGCCTTCTATTTTAATGAATTTTACACAAAGTGATCATCCTAATTGCTACTTTCTTTTGAAATACAGTGCTTACAGAAGAATCGTTAATTTTCATATTAACACCATTTCATTTTTTCTTCTTAGGCAATTCTATTAATACTTTCCAGTGAAACAGTAGAGAACATAGAGCAAAAGCTTTAAGGTATATGTACTTTTATATTGTAAATGAGTGTGAGAACCAATCTAAGCCTCTTAATGCGTACAAGGTTAGTGTTCAAACCACTTCACTACAGCAAATACTAATTTTATACGTAATTGGTAAATGTATGTGCAGGGTTAAGGAACAACTTATTACCATTTATACTAATAGTTCACCTTCTACAAAAAATATTTAAGTTTGTTACATATGCACAGTTGTTTGCTGCAATGTTTGGTAAATGATTTAAAGGGTACAAAAGCAACTCATGCATACTTCTTTCTGATTGCCCCAGGGAAAGCAGAGATCCTCAGTTTTCCCCTCTTCTAGAAGAGTCTGAAGCACAATTTCTAACCATATAATGAAAAGCACATGTCTCCAGGTCTTGACTTCCTTTCAAGGGAGATGCTGATTGCCAAAGCATAGCCTCCCATTAAAAAAATATTCTTGAAAGTGGAATGTGTATCATTAACCAATTATATTCACAATACACATAAGATGCCAAAGGGCAGTTCACTTTTCAAGAACTCACTCAATTACCAACAACCAGTGTAGTCACTGAGTGGGATAAGCAGGTGAACCAGGATTTAACAATGGAATCCTTATCAGAGCAAAGGAACTTCTAAATGCTGCTTATGCCAGCTGCTCCCCTGCAGGCAATATGAGATTCAGGCAATTTTCATTCCAACTAGTTTCTCACAATAGTTGCTGTCATATAGACCCTTCACTTGTCAAGAAAAATGACATGAACATATTGGAAGTTTGAAGCATTTGCCTATGTCTAATCAGCTCTCTTAATTTGTGCAGGTCCCTAAAATGAATGTAAAAGCTGTTTATAATATTGACAGCCAAAAGGCAAAGGATATTAAATCAAATGAGCAAACTACTTAATGCTCCACAAGTGTTTTAGAAAATAGAAAAGATGCAGATGCAATTCTTTTGTTGGATGGTTGCTTTTTCTTTTGAGACTCGGTTTTAGTAGTAGTCTTCATAGTTCTTCGGGTTCAGGCAATAAAGGATGGCACCCCCAAATGAAAATATAGTTGCACCCCAGGCCAGGCCATAACCCCAGTTGAACTCATGGTAAATTTTCAAGCTCACAGTTTCAATGAACTTGATCGGGTAAAGGACCAGGCTGCAAACCTGCAAAACAACTAAAATAAAAACAAATCGAAATTAGAATATGTTGTGTACAGGAAGTAAAACAATGTAAACATATACATATGAATAAGGATAACTTTTTAATCAAAAGCCAAAGAAATGTTTTTCCATTAAGTTTATTGGTACATTTTAGGTATAAAATACAGTTGCATTCATCATTGGGATCTTGTACCTTTACATGATGTATCTTCGTTCTTATTTTTTTCTCCTTCCCCTGCCCTCCCTTCACCCCCTCCACCCTTCCCTATTTGCAAAGACTCTGTTTCCATTTTTTTTCCTTTTCTCATATTTTTTCTTTTCCCTTAAAAGCCAAAAAATTTAAAGTATTGCTTATTTTAGATGGCATACTTTGAAATGTTATTTTCTGTTTGAATATTCTTTCATAATATGGTAAGAATTATCCTATTAATAATTAGCAAATCAGTATTTGATGAAATAATTAGTGCACTTTATATAAAGATACAAAGTAGTAATTCTCAACTTCCAAACACATATACAATTATCACTATAATGACTAATAGTATAAGTTAAATTGTTCTACTACACAAAATCTTTAAAGAGATCCCTGATAATGATATCAATGCAAACTTAAACCCCTGTTCTTTGTGTGCCTGAGGAACTGGGGAATTCAAATTCACTTTTACTGATTAAACTGGTCAACCAGTGATTCAAGATGTTTTCCTGTTGTAATTATTCTATCCCAACCATTTAACTCAACCCAATAACCAGAAAGTTGTTGTTTTTGACCAGAGTGGGATCAAATCCAGGCCCTTGTGAACGTTAGATAAGCACTTTATCATTGAACTGCATCCCAGACCACATAGAGTTGTACTGTTATATTTCTGCTTCTATTACTCTGACTCAAAACTATTTTCATCATTTTCTTCCCATCCAGTCCATGCATTTCATCTTTAAATAGAGGCTCTGGAAATCAGTGTTGAGATTCCTTAAAGAATTAAAACTAAAAATTCCATCTGACCCAGCTATTCCCCCCTCTAGGTATCTACCTTGAAGAGTTAAAGACATCATATAACAATAATACATGCATACCCATGTTTATAGCAGCACTATTCATAACAGCTAAATGTGGTATTTATACACAATGGAGTATTACTCTGCCATAAAAAAGGATAAAATTGAGTCATTTGCCACAACTAGTTATACTCTTTCTGTTAGACATAACAGAAGATATTTACATATTTATTTCCCACCTTTCAAAAAATAATTAACTCAAAGAAGGCATAAGAAATAATGGTACTGAAAAACCTAGGCTACTACAACAGAGCACAGAATTTATTTCTTAGTTTACAGTTAGATCTTGGTTCCCAGTCAGGACTAAATGAGAAAAGCAAATGAGTCATGTTTAATAAAATAAAACAAACCAATCATTCAGGAAGGGAAGAGAAAGGTTTTTTTTAACCATCTAAAATTACACTGGTATATATGCTGTGGATATTTGTATATGGGAGACACTGGTTTACAATGAGAAATGATATCACTTGTTAAATCGATATCCTCTTATTGGATCTATTATTATATAATTTGCATTTTATCTAAATTAATTGAAAGAACTTATTGGATGGATCTGCAACTTACTCTATTATGCATCAACCCTCAAGAACTAGGAAAACTTGTTGGCAAACTACTAAATCTGCTTGCTGCTTGTTTTGAAATCAAAATGTTTTATTGGAACACAGCCATGCTTATTCATTTATGTTTTGTCCACATTACAATGGCAGTGCTGAGCAGTGGCAACACAAAGCCAAAATTATTTTTTGCTTTTTGGACCTTTACAAAAAAGTAAAGAGCAATCCTTGATATTTTTCATTAAAATGATTATGTAATTCATCTTAAAAATACTGTAAACTCCTGAAGTTCAAGAACAAAACTGTGAGCAATTAAGGAGTAGAAAAACAAACTGTGACATGGTTAAAATATACACATATACAGTTGATATAATTTATTAAACATTTTAAAAAGAGCAATTGGATGGATGGTAACTGGAACTTTGTTTTAATTAAGATCTACTCTCATCTATTCTCAGCACCTATAAAGGATCATATTTTCAATATGATTAACATATGTAATAGTCTACATAACAATGATCTATCTATCTCTGACATAACACTGATGAGCAACAGCAAGTTCGTGAGGGCATGACTCCTCAAAATTGTCACTTTTTATAAGAATCTGACTAGGGAACAAAGGCTCTATCTGGAACCAAATAAAAGTATTCCAAATGTCTTTTCCATATAGCTCAATATTTTCCCTGGCCTGCATCTGGCCACCACACTCCCATATTACTTCTGACAGTGGATGGATAGATAGGCTCACATAATAAGAAAATCCCTTGACATCTAAAATAGAAATCACATAATTTTTAGCTTAGAAGTCTTAGAACAAGTTTGAGGTCATTGTTAGGACTCAACTGAGCGGATATGATAAAACCCGTATTTCATCTGTTTCTAGCCACTAAGTGATAAATATGACCTACAAAAAAAAATTCCCAAGTTTCAAAGCATGTTTAAAATATAAAAGGCTTTTCTCCTTGGGTTTCTGTATTCTGGTTGTGAGTCAAATCATCGGTGATCCTTCTAGGATGTGATTGAAGAAGGAATGTGTTAGTTATAGTAATTAACTTACTCATTCAACATATAAATGCATTCAATGAATATTTCAGTGTTTCAAAAGTGATACAGTTTAAGACATCCTTGGTAACAAAATGGACAAAGTTGCTACTCTCATAGATAGGCAGACTATTAGTAAATAAATGCTGAATACAATGGTAGGTGCCGCTAAGAGACAGGAAAATCTAAGAAAGGAGGACCAGGGGAATGAGGGCTACTCTTTCAGATCAATGATGGGAAAAGGCCCCTCTGGAGAAAAGACATTTGAGTACAGACCTAAATGCAGAATGAAATGCAGAATGAAATGCAGGTGTAGGCTATGAGAGTCAGGAGTAAGTATTCCAGCAAGGGGGCACAGGTAATGCCCAGCTCCTAACCCAGGGGACATCGGGTACACTGTAGAGCAGGGAAGATGTTGTGGTTGCAGTACAAAGAATGGAAAGGATGAGTAAAGCCTTGCAAGGGTCAGCAGTGGCTGCTCATGGACAACCTTGAGAATTATGATTAGGGGCCTCAATGTTATTATTTTAAGTGTGACAAGCAGTTTCTAGAGGATTTTGAGCAGAGAAGAAATAACAAATTGGAATTACATTCTAAAAGCATTACATTGCTTCTTTCGTGAACTGGCCAGTCCCAGGAATAAGGTATTTACCTAGGCTGCTTTTAATATTCATTTCAATGTGTTTTATTTAGCAAATATTTGACTTCCCCAGTATAATTTAATGACACAATTTCCTTACGGTGGAAAAACAACTCTATGAGAGTCCAGTGGCATATTCTCTTGAACAGCTGTCTTACACCTTTATTGTGTTTGAGCCAGACAAAAATTATCTTAAAATGCTTTATGCCTCTGAATGTTGTACTCCCTGGATTGAAGAGAAAAATGTATATAATAGAAAAACTGAAAACAAAAACTACAAACTTGTTTGGTAAATAATTTTCTCAATTTAATACAATATATGACACAGGTAAAAAAAAAAAAGTCTCTTTGCCCTTCATAAATTCTGCAATGGGGACGGGAACTAGAGGTTAGAGGTCAAGAAAATGCCATCATAGTATATTTCTATTTTACCATCCATCAATGAAACACAATTGACATTGGCTGTGGTATTCCCTATGCTCTGTCTTAGAGACACAAAGGTGAAGTTATGGAGCATTTCAGAATTTGAAGAGACATGAGTTGATTTCATGCTCGCCACACTTTTTTTGAAAGGAGGCAACAATAACTAAGAAACTGTGTGAATAGAAGCATGATGGGAACAAAAAGATACTAATTCTTGTTTTTTTCCTCCTTTCTAAGGGAGTATTTTTCAGTGTTTTCAATATTAAAATATTCAAAACACTCAATATTGAAATATTCAATATTTTTTCCTAAGGGAATATTTCAATATTTCAACAAATATTCATTGGGTGCCCACTGTGTTTTACAAGAGGATAAGATGGTGGTATAGACCCACAGATAAGCATAAAATCAAATGTATTCAACAGTAGAAGTTGACACATTTATTTATCATCCATTCAACTACTTTTATTGAACTCAATGTCAAATATTAATCCTTCTTAAGAGAAAAAAAAGGGGTTGCCAAAAGGAAGCAGTGTTTAAACTGGTTCTTGAATGATGGGTAGGACTTGATGAGAAGAGGAAGATGAAAAGACCTTTAGGAATAATCAGCGATCTGTGTAGAGACTGGAGGTATAAGGGTATGCCTACAGGCAATTAACATGGATGGAATGAAGGGCAAATGCACAGTGACATGTTTCATTAGGACCATAAGATAGATGCCTTTATGTATCATAAAATAATAGATTTTTTTGTTTCTCTAGAGAGACATCTGAGATGCTATTTTAAGTGTAGAGGCGGCTGGTGTCTATTCATAAATGCTCATCCTCATGACTTCAGCACATACTAACCTGACTTCCAACTGTTTCCTATGGCTTTTCTTCCCTGAGTTTCCTCTGGCCACTCAAGCTAATATACCTGTCCTTGGAGCAGACTTGAAGTTCTGGAATATTTAAAATGCTGCCCCTCAGTCACAACCAGTGGGCCTTACCAATGATTCCCAGTACTGGGTGTGTAAACACCTCAGCTGTCTAGTCCTTCAAATGAGATAACTCTTGAGGTATGTGTTCGAGGTTTCCAGAGTTTCTCTAGGAAAATTAAGTCCCAGATTTTTCTGCTTTCAAGTCAAAAAATGTGCCCTTTATTGGCTGCCTTCTGAATCGTATCTCATGTTCCATACCCCTTACCACACCCCTTCTATTACCTCCCAAATAAAATGTCTATACTTGATTCCTTATCTCAGAAACTGTTTCTATGAAAACTAAAGTGTTAAATAACAAGACCAGATTCATATTTCAGAAAAAAA